CCTCCAGGGATGGGGCATCCACAACTTCTCTCGGCAACCTGTTCCAGTGCCTCACCACCCTCTGCGTGAAAAATTTCCTCCTACTATCCAACCTAAATCTCCCCTCTCTTAGTTTAAAACTCTTCTCCCTTGTCCTGTCACTTTCAACCCCTGTAAATAGTCGCTCCCCCTCCTGTTTATACGCTCCCTTCAAGTACTGGAAGGTCGCAATGAGGTCTCCCTGGAGCCTTCTCTTCTCCAAGCTGAACAAGCCCAGTTCGCTCAACCTTTCTTCATAGGAGAGGTGCTCCAGCCCTCTGATCATCTTTGTGGCCCTTCTCTGGACCCGTTCCAAGAGCTCCACGTCCTTCCTGTGCTGGGGACCCCAGGCCTGGACACAGTGCTCCAGATGGGGTCTCACACGAGCAGAGCAGAGGGGGACAATCACCTCTCTCTCCCTGCTGGCCACCCCTTTTTTAATGCAGCCCAGGACATAGTTGGCCTTCCGACCTGCAAGCGCAAACTGCTGGCTCATGTCCAGCTTCTCATCCACCAGGACCCCCAAGTCCTTCATCCGCAGGGCTGCTCTCAAGGAGTTCTTCTCAAAGTCTATAGAAGTACCTGGGATTACCCCGGCCCAAGTGCAATGCCTTGTACTTGGCCTTGTTGAACCTCATTAGGTTCTCATGGCCCCACTTCTGCAGCCTGTCCAGGTCCCTCTGGATGGCATCCCTTCCCTCTATTGTAACGACTGCACCACTCAGTTCGGTGTCATCTGCAAATTTACTGAGGGTGCACTCAATTCCGTCATCTATGTCATTGATAACGATATTGAAGAGCACTGGTCCCAAGACAGACCCTTGAGGGACACCATTTGTGACCGGCCTCTACCCAGACATAGAGCCACAACCCTTTGATATGGTGAGGGACCATGTCAAAGTCTTTGCACAAGTCCAGGTAGATGACATCCATTGCCCTTCCTTTGTCCACCAACACCATCACTCCATCACAGAAGGCCACCAGATTGGTCAGGCAAGATCTGCCTTTGGTGAAGCCACGCTGGTTGTCTCAGATCACCTCTTGGTCTCGTGCATGTCTTAACATGGCTTCGAGGAGGATCTGCTCCCTGATCTTGCCAGGCACAGAGGTGAGGCTCACCAGCCTGTAGTTCCCTGGGTCTTCTTTTCTCCCTTTCTTAAAAATAGGAGTAATGTTTCCCTTTTTCCAGTCACTGGGGACTTCACCTGACAACCATGATTTCTCAGATATGATGGTGAGTGGCTCAGCAACTACATCAGCCAGCTCTTTCAGAACCCTCGGATGCATATCATCTAGCCCCATAGACTCATATACATTCAGTGTCGTGAGGTGGTCTCCAACTTACTCCGCAGTTACAGTGGGAGGGATTCCGCTCCTCTCACCCTCACCTAGAGGTTCAGGTTTCATTTTTATTGCTTTACTGTGCTAGTACCACATGCTTTCTTCTCTAAGTGTTTCAGCATCCCAAACCCTCTTCTCCCTGCCACACTCAGGTAAACTTTTAAAGAAAACCTTCTGTTAAATAATGCTGTTAAAGATTTTTGGTTTTAATTACATTCGTCCCTCTTCCGTATGTAATGTTTCTAGGTTTTTATGAAAATGAGAAAGCAAACAGGAGTTACTGGCAATCAGCATTTCTGGTGCCCCGGGTAAACAGTAATATAGTTGTAGCGAGAATTTTAAAGGGGAAATTTTTTATTTTATTGAAAAAAGAAGTAACTTTCCATGCAATTCTTCTCACTATAGGGAGCCTTTTGCCATTTGCATAGAACTATCTAAGGTCAGACAAGAGCTGAAAAGAGTCAGTCCTCCTTTTCCCTTACTCTATCTGCTACCATTGCCTAGCTCTGGAATGAATAACATGATCTCATTTGATATGCAAGAAAATAAATCCTCCTCCTGCCTATTACAATTTTTATTTTGTGATCCAGCTTGCACACTCCACAAGCAGATGAAGAGATGTGTAGCTAGTGTGGAAACTGCTCTTTCCTGCAGCACTGAAGGTGCTTCAGTCTGAGGTGCTGAAATCACACCCTTGGCTACTTGCAGAAATTTCGCTCTCTCTGCTCTTGCTGTGAGTCTCTTTCGTGATTCACAGCAATCAGAATCACTCAGATGTGTCAGGAAGACAGCTGGAGAAACACTAAACAGCCAAAGCTTATTACTCAGTCTATATGATGTTGCACAACAGCAGCTTTACAGTAGTTAACAATTTTATCACTAGTCCCATAATGTTTGTCAATCCTATTGCTTTTCCTGCAGAGTGCTTGTTGATGATGAACAATGAAGCTGTGGACTCAAGTAATAAACAGTATTCCATCTGCTGACATAGAAACCATTCTAGTCACCATTATTTTCTCTCTAGCTGTTCTTGAACTTGTAAACATTATTTCTCCTTTTTTCAGTCCACTGGCAGCATTATCAAATTATTCTCCTTTCCTCTGTGGTCCAACATACAGATATCACTAGTTAAGCTACACCAGCAACAGTCCTTCGTCCCACCACACTAGAGTTAAAATATTTCACACTGGTTCAAATTTGTTTCCAGCTACTAGGAAACAAATTTCTCACAGTGAATGAGTGAATTTCATCTGTACTTCCATGAAACTCTAAGATATTTATGGTAGGTAGAGGGCCTCATTTTACTCTGATGCTAATTTTGCACAAGCATAACTCCAGCAACACCATCAGTGAAGCTGGCATTGACTTATGCTATTATCAAAACGCTTATGTTCCTATATATCTATGGAAATCATCAAGTTCTTGAATTCAATGGTTTACTTGATTATAAGAGCTCCGGATCACCCCTCCTTGTGAGGATCCTTTGGCAAGAGAGGAGCATGCAGCTCTCCATCAGCCCAATCACAAAACCTTTCTTCCATGTCCCCATGAAACCCAATAATTTATTTCTACTTTGAAGGTTAAATTTAGGCATCTCTGATTATGCCCGTTTATCTGCCCTCTTCTCCAGTTTGGCATCATCAGTTCTTTTGCACCTTCCCTTTTGTAGTAACTCTAATGAGGATGGGAAATCGCTTGAGGACCACGTGAAATGTGTTGTCATGTCTATTCCTGTGCCCTAAAGGAAGCTGCTTCAGACCTTTGTCTTTCTTTCCATGGTCTGCAAGGACTGTCTGGTCCTTTTCCCTCATGCAGGGTGAATGACCAGGACTGTAGAAGAAAGAGATGTCTCATGCAGACGCCATCATCGTGCCTGATCCTGATCCCCACCTGTGGGCTGATTGCCTGGCCTCAGCCTGTCCCCATACCCAGGGAGGTGCCTGATGCCCAGGGCTGCTCCTGCCCCAGTGTCCCGTGGCTGTCCTGCTCCTGGTTGGAGCAGTGGGAAGGGCCCTGGGTGCCAAGCCCTGCCGTGTACCCCTGGGGAGTCCACAGCCAACTCCAGCTCCCAGGGAGTCTCCCAAGCTCACAGTGCTGACACTCAGATGTCTGCAAGTAAATACACCGTGTTCCTAGGCATATGCTGCCCCGTGACAGCCTAACACAGAAGCCTGTACTCATCTCTGTCTTTTACTGCATTATGTGTTCACCAATTATGTGTTAATCTTAACTGCACCAGTAAGGATGAGATCTGTCAGACTATGTGTTGGTGAGAAAGAGTATTTTCAAAAAGTTCTGAAAGTGCTGTGAGATTGTGAAAGTAAATTACCTGGATTAGGCTGAAGATATTCTATCGTCTTTGCCATTATTTCCATAACTGCCCTGCTGGTAACATCCACTTTCTAAAGGACAGAGATTACACACACAAAAAGAAACATGAAAAAAATGTTAGACAAAAGGAAGATGTTTCTCTCTCTCTCTTTTTTTTTTTTTTTACTTATGAATTCCTGTAACTCTTCTTATAACTTTTTTTTTGGTGTCCCTGAGAACAGCTGTGCTACCAGAATGGTGATAATACCTGGAAAAATACCAAAGCATGAGTCCACCATTTCGGTTTATAGCAGATACATTGTCAAGCAAAGCCATTAGTACAGAGTACCTCAGGATGTGTTGGGAATTTGATAAGCTCATTGTACCAGGCTGATACTTTACATCACCCTGAGAAGCACCCACAATAGGGAGAAATTTTTGATAAAATGGTCACTGAAAACTATTTGAAGAATTAGCCATCTTTGATCCCCCAATAACTGACAAAATGGGAGCAAAGCAGATGTCAGTCAAAACCAGCCACCAGTGATAAAATGGGCGACCTACATCTTTCAGAGCGAGGTCTGGTAAAATTGGGGTAAGGAAAACTAAGTATCCCTGTTTCCAGTTTCAAGAAACCTATCAGCATGGAGGCACTGACCATTTATTTCCCTTGGCTGACTCCATGAAGAATTATTTTATATTTAGGATTATAAAATACTTAGAATTGAAGAGCATTACATTCTTCTACTGTAACAGGGATTCTTTCTTTCTTAAAACATATTCCACATCAGCTTCCTAAGCTGCATATAGCAAAGTATGCCACTGCTCTCCCTCTCAGAATCAGGCCTCAAAATAAAAAATGCTCAGAACTGGAGATCCTCTGAACCGGAGATCCTCAGAACCTGTCCTGTGCTCTGCATTTATGAAGACACATGGCATTTCCCTGCAGGGTAGCTTGTGTCCCACAGAGTGAACTCCTTTACCATAATGGCAAGTTCCTATTTTAAAAAAGAACACCTGAGATAGGTTGGTAACAGCACACTGTGACTGACCTCTTTCCTGTTTGCTGTTACCACTGCCATCTGCCAGGTCCTGCTCTATGCTTTACACAAAGAAGCAGAAGAGGTCTGCCAGCCTTGGGTGAAAAAGTAGCTGAACTGCCTGGCAGGGAGCCCAGAAATGGCTAGAAGGCTGCAGAGGAGAGTCAGGGTGAGGGAACAGAAGGCCAGGGACAGGCAGAAGGAGCATGTCCACTGCCTGCAGAAAAGCTGGCAAGGGACATGGGGCCAGGTAGGGAGCATGGAAGCAAGCAATGAGTTTAGTCCATTCTCTTCTCAACTCTCCATGTTCTTATATCCTGGGCTGCCAACCCATGCTGCCCATGAGCACTAGGTGGAACTCACCCCTGGCTGGCGCAATGTCCTGCTTTCAACTCTAACCCTTGCATCAGTTTTCTGAATCTCTGTTAACATCTTCCAGATTTAATGGCAGTGCCTATAGTTGCAGCACATTCAAAGGGAAGCTGGGCAGAAGGGGAGAAACCAACTCTTCAGTACTTCTGCTGTAAGAAGTACAAAGGATATGCCCTTCTTTATTTTCCATCCAAGGTCTTTTCCCCATCTCACTACAGAAATGTACAGATAAATAACTTATTTTTCTCTTGATCAGAATTATATATCAGATATGTACCCTACAAATCACCTAGCAGTAGCTTGTGTTACAGGATCTGATAGTACCTTTCAAAGTCAAAGACAGAAAAAACCCTGCCCCTACTTAGCCTTCCAACTGAAATATCACTGCCACACACAGCTATGTCTTTATTTTTTTTTTTTTCATCCTCCACAGAAACACTCAGTGCTACAATGCCAGCCTCACCAAGCAGTCTGTTGGGAGGTTAGCCCCATCTACCCAAGGCACTTTGCCAGTGGAGGCTGCCTAACAGTATCTCTGAACCTATGAATGAATATTCCAGTACCATTATCAACCCCCTTTTATCAGACAGCTCTTGCTCCTCTTGATTGATGCTGAGAATTACAGGCACCATTTGCCATTGAAATTACCATCTTATAGTCAGACTTTCTGTTTTCACAGATCATCTACAACGGTTTAACTGAAACTAATTTGTAGCTGACATGAGGCTCAATCTCTGAATTAAATATTTTTTTTTTATAAAGAGTGCCAACATATGCCTTGGTTAGAAAACAAAAGTAAATAGAAAA